ACTGTGATACATGATATTTTCAAATACACGATTGTACCCTTGCTGTAATAGTTCCCATTGAAATTATATTATGGAGATTGATGAGATAATAAAATAATTTACCTACAATCATTTCTGAATGTTTTAATATTGAATTAGTGTATTTATTTTCATTTTCTTTCTTCTTCTATAATCATCTTTTTTATTTGAGAAACAAAATATTTGTCTTTGCATCATCTACAGAAAAATGAAGATGTTGTCAAGAAAGTGATCAGGCATTTCTGTATATCAAGCAAGGTAAAGTATTATGGTTAATTATTATGTAATTATATCTGTGTCATCCTAAAATTTTTGCTTCACGAAACTTATGAGCTGTTTGACAGTAAATCGTGTTTTTAAAAGTATTCATTGTGAAATTGATCCCTATTTAACTAATTTTTATTAAATTTGTTAGTTTAACAGGGATCAATTTTTTTTTAATATAATTTGGCCTTTCTCTTGAACCATTACAGAAAACTAATATCTTTTAACTGGAATAACTGATTTAACTGAATAATTTGGTTTTACTACATTAATTATTAGAATGAGTTTATTATTAAACAATTCTGTCATCAAATTTGAGAAAGCGAATAATGGAATGGAAGTTAAAGGATCTTTTGGTGTAAAAGATAACATTTTTGGTAATAAGTACAGCTTTTCTTTCCAATTCATGAAATTTCATAATAGTTTGTTGTATTAATTAAAAGTTTGACATCAAATTATGTGTTTAAAATGAAGTGTATTCTATATTACTAAATCTAATGTGCATAAAAGTTGAAAGAAAATTATGCAGCTTTGGCCATGTGAGAGGGGTCTGGGTTTGTAAGAGACCTAGGGACTCCAGAAAAGTCCAAAAACAATGAAACAGTTTTCATTATGACTGAAAAATGCAAATATTTTAGTTATTCTGCCTATTCTAATACTGCACCTATTTGACTGAATTCTCATACTAAGTGTGTCACTGCTTACAACACAGCTGACACAATGACATGTAAGGTTCTAAGGAAGAAACATCCCACCATTAAATATTGCTGTTCATGTGTTGCATTATGGAATGCATTGCATTATGTATTCTATACTATACATACTAGACATTAGAAAGGAACTAAAGACTTAGTAGAGGAAATAGAAAATTCTCAAAGAAAATGGCAAGATCACCTTAAAGAATGAACAATAACAGATAGCCAAAACTAATTTGGAAATATAAACCAGCAGGGAACAGAGACATTGGAAGACCACAAAAGAAGTGGGAACAGCAGGAACACTTCTGTTCTGAAGACTACCTGAAATATTGCATAAATAATGGAACAGGCAGTTAAACCTAAACACAAAAAAAAGATATGATACTATACTATATTATTACAGTATTCGTGAAGACTAAATTTGTTAAAATATTTAACATATATTGTAGTGTCTCACGATAGTATTTCATTCCTCTTAGGCACTGCTCCATTTTGTGTGGTTTTGTTTGACAGCAGTTTTGCTGTTGCAGACCACTAGTTAATTTTTAATATTGGTATCAAAAATATTGTGATTGATTTAATTGCAGTTGAGATCACAAAAATTGCTAAGTGCTCTAATTGTAGCTGTGTTTCAAAGGCAAGAAGTCAGTTGTAGCCAGGACTCGAGGCTGGGGATATGAATCTCCCAACATGAATTTATGAATCTGACAATTGAGAAATAAAACCATTCATGAAATGATTGCTCATTTTCAAATCTTGTACATTGACCACAAATACTAATAAGTCACAAGATCATAAAATTCATTGGGTTAAAAACTGAAGAGAAGTAATGGGATCACAGTAATAGCATATGCAATATTCATCTGAAGAATGCTATAAGACTACCGTGTCTGGCTATGAGAATAATGACGAGCAAGAGAAAAATATAGCAGTAATGTTTTCAAGCAACACTAATCATTTAGAAGATTCTTAGTCATGATTTTAGTAAAGAATTTTAACTTATTTCTTAAATTTTAGCTAGTAGCCAGGCTGCCAATTGTACCTGGGCTAAAAAGATCAGTCTTATTCATCAATTACAGCCAGGGAGTACAATTATGTCAAATGCAGAAAAAACTCTTTGAGCAAACACAGTGTTCTTATAATAACCATGTCTAACTTAATGTTGTGATCGGTCATAAAATGTATTAAAATTATTTTTCAGTAGTGGATGTCTTCTAAAATTTGCAGTAAAACAAAATCTTCAAATGCAGTTTCAGTAATTTTTCATTTCATTGGAAAGTAGGAAACTAACAATTGCTGTCAAAATTTGGACTTGCTGCATATTCACCAGATTACACCACCTTGCATACTGACTTTCTCAATGTCTGTAGAACATAATGTACAATGTACAATGTACATTTATTTACATCAGATGTAGTTAAATGTATTCATAATTTTGTCAGTAAGTTGTACTAGTATCTGTGTCTTAACAATTGGAAAAGTCTTAACAGTTTAAGTAGTTTTAAATAATAGGAGTTGCAAAATGATTGCATTAAATTATGCACCATTATATGAAGTTATGGTGATTTCATTAAATATTTCCTAAGGAATGGTTTTTAACAAAAAATATTTAATAAATGTTTTCATTATCTTAATTACTAAATTACATTTTATACAGTGGTACAAAAATTATTCGTAGCTAAGTGACATAAAATAACTTCAAAAATATTGAAAAAGAATAAATAATGGATCTAAGCTGATGATCATTTATAGATTTTAATATTTGACTACATTTGGTTGTAATAACTATTTTTATAATAAGAATTATGTTTGATCATGGTTGACCTACCTACAAAATTCTTTTTTCAGAAACACTTGATTGGATAGGCCATGCACTTTTTAAAAGCTAAAATTATTGTGTGGTGTTAGGGGTCAAGTTTGTTGAGTTGTTAAACCGTTTGCTAATAGATTGCAGAAATACCTTTTAAACACCTGGAAGACTTTAGTGTTTCAGGTCTCCTGCTTAACCAGGTCTCCCTGTTTTTTCATCATTCAGTTCATGATGATGATGATCTTTTAAACAATGGGAGTTTTTTTATATTAGATTATGACTGATCAGAAACAAGGGCAATAATCAAAAATATTTCACAGAGCTAAACTCTTAAATCCTATTGTGTATTATTTTTTATTCTTTTTTTAAATTGATGATAATCTATGTATTTGTAAAACAGTTCTTTGCAAATAACACCAATATTACTTGTCAATCTATAACATATATCTTTCTCTGTCTCCATTCTCTAAATAAGTTTTTGCTATTTTCTTTTCTTCTTACTTCTATTTCTCCTTTTGCTTTTAGTCTTTTCTGGACAAATAATTTTGTCTTTTTAAAATATATTTAATAATGGTGTTAAATATCTTGTTGAACCACTTTCAATCTTTGTCACTTTATATTAATTATATGAATGGGTGAAAATCAGAATGGTATGAGAAACATTTTATGAGAAAAATGTGTTTATTTTAGGTTATATTTCAGTGGCAATGTATTTTTGTGGTTTTAATGAACTATTGAAATGCTGTGATTCTAATGATGAAACAAAGCACCACGACTTTACAGTGATATTTTTGACTTAAATAAACAGATTTCTCAGAATTTATGAAAGGCCACTTATCCCATTCTGGTTTTCATCCATTCATATTTTGATTATGTCCACTCTGTATTGTAACATGCAATAATTTTCTGGGGTCATGGATTTTATAAAGTCCAGAAGGGAATCACCAGGATAATAGCAAAGGTTGACAAACTAAAATTACGTTGACCATTTTTCAAATTACTTTGAGTTTGTTTTCTCTCATGCCTGTGTATTTACCAATATATTATGTTTTCTCAAAGCAGCTAGTAACGGAAAATTAGATTTATAAATATAAAAGAAAATGTATTAAGTAGCTGTAATGTTGTAAAGCCTTCAACATGATGGATTACGACATGTTATGTGATAAATTGAATCAATATGAAGTATCTTCACATTTAGAAAGTGTCTCTTGGAAAAATTAAAAGTATGAATTTGCTTAATAAATGTAATATAGAAACTAAAAAGTTTCTCCAATTTAATACCTACTCTAGTGATGCACCTTAGTATGACCATAAGGATGTATCCCAAAATAACTAAAATGACCCACAGGCAGAGTCACCAAAACTGTATTAAAATTATATTAATGCTAAATTATGTAATGCATGCCTATGCATTCTGCTAATGTAAACATGACATCAAGTCATTCAGATTTTAGATAGAGATATATAAAAATACAAAATCAAAGTATCTTGAAATACAAATAAATTCATTTATATACTCCCACCCCTCTCGCAACAAACGATGCGAGGAAGCTCAAGAAAACATGCGAGGATATTTTTTTTAATAATATCTAGGACGCGGTGTTTCCCGGACACCCAAAGAGATATTTTGCCTAAGTAAAAAAGGTCATGAATCGCAAAGAGATTACTGGAAAAAGTGTTTCTGGAGACTTATATCTCGTCTACGTATATAAAGGTCTACATTGATTGTTCCCTTTGTGTGATTGAGAAATAGTTTTTTGCAGCGAGTCTTTTCGAAAATTCCGCCAAGTGACGACCAACTGAGATGACAAAGAAGCAACGTTGAAAGTGCGTACCTTTTATTCTATGGGATCTATCCACACTGTGGGAAGAACAATGATGATACATTTTTGTCATTCTCGATCATGGCTACCAAACGACGTCCTTTGCATACGGGCTCTAAGTTAAATTTTCGTCCCGGCAACTCCTCCGAGTCTTCAACATGCGATCCGAAAGGGAAGAAACCGCTTCCAGAACCAACGACAGTGCGAAAAGTGTTGTTGATGATGATACTACATGTATGCCGAAAAACGCTGTTTTTTGATACAAACCTGAAAGTGGGTATTTATGGCGCCAGTCTGTTTTTAATATCCCTGGTCACAGATGTGTTACCGGTTCCCAAAACGTATTTTGCAAGATCTGATAATATATTTAATCAATATTTTGTGAAAATGGGATGGGGATGGACTCTTTTGATGACATTCCCCTTTGTTGTTCTGACAAGTTATACATACTGTTGTGGTAAGAAAGACAAAGTGGTTATGCATGTTTCCAGATTAGGTATTGCCACGTTTATGTGGTTCTTTTGGACAAATTTGTTTCAATATATTGAATCAAATTATGGACGATGTCTATCTAAGGCCCATTTCCCAACTAAAGCAGCTTGTATCGGGAAAGGTTTTATGTGGAATGGGTTTGATCTTTCCGGGCATGCTTTTATACTGATATATAGCAGTTTGGTTCTAATTGAAGAAGCAAGAGCAATTAATGGATGGGAAAGAATGAGTGATTTAATTCGCAACGAGGGATATACGAGAGACACTGCTGATGGTTCATTAAACGTGAACCCATTGAGAAGTTTAACAGAACGTGAATTCTCCAATTTAAAAGCATTTTATGAACAGTTTACACCATATATTCATTCATTATTTATAGGGATGACATGTTTGTGTATCCTCTGGGATGTGATGTTAGTTAGTACTATGTTATATTACCACATTATGATAGAAAAGTTTGTTAGTGGTGCAATTGCTATCCTTATGTGGTTTGTAACTTACCGTTATTGGTATGCCCTTCCCAAAGTTTACCCTAATTTGCCAGGAGATGGTCTTTTCAAATACACTAATCGTCAACAGTCAAGAGAATTACCAACAAAAAAGAAAACTTCTACACCTAATGTCGCTAAAGGTCAGTTGCCAAAATTTATGGGAATGCCATTATATGGTTTACGTAATCAAGAAATGAAAATGAAAGATGGAATGAAAGACGAGAAAGAAGAACAATTTATGGATGAAATATCACCTGCATCTTCCAGTAAAGTGTCTGTGACCTAAAAATATAAACTTGAGTGCATGTTAGTTATGAGAGTTTTGTTACTGTTGTTATTATCATCATTTGGTTGGTGAATGAATTAGTATATTATTTTAATGTTGGCATTATGAAAGGAGTGTTACAGTCTGTAAAACACCCACATTTTTATGTACCTGTATGTTACATGACTTCAGTTTTATTAATCCAGTCATGAAAAAGAAAGGTCAATTGTAAAGTTTTTGATTTATATGAAATGTACTGCAATTTTTCAAAACTTAACTATGAACTCTAGTACATTTTTGTATTAATATTTAAGAAATGTGCCTTCAATTTCCCTGTGAAAAAGTTAATTTTGTTATATCTGTAACTAAGGTTGTGTTTTTTACTTGTTTATTTAATTTATTTATTGACTCAAATCATCACAGATGTGCAAGCCAAGAAACATGTTAAGAGAAATGTACACAATTTCTCTCTAAATATTTAACTTCCAAATTTTTGTACTTGCACACTTGAATTTGAATGTCTTACACCTTACTGTTTATACAGTACTATGAAAATAATGTTATTTAATGTCTCTCTTAGAATTGGTTTTTGTACGACTCACTTTGTATCTCCAGAATTACTGTGGATTGTCCTTTTCCTAGCCCCTTCATAAGATTTAAATGTTCTCTTCTGGGCATATTCATTTATCATTACGAATAGAGAACCTTATCTACTTATTAATATTTCCTTTCGGTTTTTAATTTGCAAGAAGGCATAGGGCCAAAAATGAAAACTATTAGCAAATTTCCATCACTTGTAAAATGACCCATTGTTCTACTATTGATGTTCATGTTTCCCTTGTTTACTTTCGTTTCTTCAATTTCCGTAATGATTTCTAGGGATGCCTTTGAAATAATAATAATAATAAAAAAATTGAAAATCCTCTTGAATTGTTGCTGTGATTTGATTAGTAGCTTCAGTTTTATTACTTTTGGATCGTTGCAATACAGGACAAGTCGTTTGAAATTGCTTAAAAAAGTAAGCAAAGATCCATGCTTTCGACCTAATCAGTAATTTCTTGTGTATATGAGACTGAAGGTTGAAGAAAAAAGGGGGGAATTCAGTTAAATTTCTGTTTCCGTGAAGGCTAAGGCCATGGTAATTCATTTATTTGTAAGACTTGCAATCGTATTAAAGGGATCTTTTTTAGTTTGTGGAACAAATCAACTAAAATGTGCTATCTTTTGAAGCTTGCCCATGTGATATGTTGTTTTTTAATATCTAATTTATTAAGCATTATTGATCACCATAAAAGTGACTTATGGTCAAATTATTGGACCATCTACTTTGTAATTTTTAATTTTTTTTCTTTAGCAAAATTATTCATTTTTTGCTCTTAACTTAAGGAATACTGAAAATAGCATGATTTGGTAATGTAGTTTTTGTATCTTTGAGCATTGTATAGACAAAAACAAAATATTAACAATTATTTACAAATTACTTTCCTTAAATTTAATTCTCTACGAATATTTTTAATGCAATTTGAGAGAAAAGTCAATTTATATCCAACATGTTTTTTTGTTTGTGTGTATGATTTAAATGTTTCAGTTGTACAATTGTACTTCGACGGTCGATTACTAATGTGGGAAAATATTTTTATATCTTTTATGTACAAAAGTCGAAAGAAATCTTTTGATTAAAGTATATAGTTATAATATGTTGGAGTTTTATATAATAATTACAATAACAAACTTGTACCTCTTGTATGGATTATGTTAATTGGTAAGTAGTGAAATCGGGAGAGTTGTGATATGCTTCCTACTTTCAATGGAATGGTTGAATTATACAACTTGTTTTTACATCTTTCATTGTATTTGTGAGCAAGTTGAATAAGGGATGTGTTTATTTTATAACATGTAGTTCTCTGTTGAATATCAGTATATATGAATCGTTATAAACCCTCAAAGGAAGGGAGTACATTTTGAAGAACTTACCATTCCTTCTCGGGACAGGGGACTGATCAGTGAAGTGGCGCAAAATCTAGTCAAAGGGGAGGGGAAAATGAAATTCTGGAAAGCATACTATTTGCTGTTTGAAAGTTTAATGCTTGTTGTAGATGGTTAAATATTAATGTCAGGAATTAATTTTATTGCATTTTAAATTTGTTTTGATATAGGAGTTGTTTTACTTTTTTTATATTGAAATTTTGTACTTCTCTTTTTTTAATTCATATTATTAAAACCACATTTATTCAACCGGATTGAAATCGTATGATTAACCATTGTATCACCGACTCAAGCGATGACACTGCAATGTCAGAGGAGAAATCGGGAGAAATGAATCATTGTTTTTTGAGTACGGTCAGGATGTGTGTAGAGTTGTCCTCTGAATAGTACCCGGTTCATAATTGATTTACGAATTCATAATGGTGGGAAATATAATGTGTTAATAAAGTTTTTTGTCGTAAATCAGTCATTAAATGATACGTACAAATTAGCACGTATTATGGCATGCACGTTTAATGCAAGAATAATTATGCCAACGCACATTTAGCCTATTCTACAACAAAAATCTAATCAACAATTCCATTGTTCTTGTAATGCAAGGATAGATGACGCAGGTGTTATTTCAGGCTCAGGTGCTGGCGAGGTAGAGTTGGCGCATTTTCATTTTGTCTTGCACCATGCGTGGGACGGAAAACGACAGGGGAGCGGGAAACGTAAATGAGGAAGGTAAGCAGGCTATCAAGATCCAATTGATGCCAAATATGAATCTACTCTAAACTATTTCAGTATTTGTGTAAGAATTAATATTGGGTATAAGGATTGGTATCTTTAAACCTGCAGGCTGCAACAACACACTTATTTTTATTTTCTCTCTACTTCTTACGCAGTATAGAGAAAGTACGCTGCCGGAAAGACGGAAAATTTTCGAAAGAACTTATTGCCAGGCCCTGATAACGAAAAAGTGGATTAATCTGGGTTTTATATGTAGTAAAGTACGTTTTTAGCACGTGTTGTCAGAATCAATGTCTTGTGGTCCCTGATACCGAAAAAGCAACGTGTACATGACACTTTTTAAAGAGGTAATATTTTAGAATAAGCATTGTTTAAGACAAAAATTGCTATAATCAATTTTGTACTTTTTAAATGTTAACTTTTTGCAATTTTCGAAAATGCGGAGAATTTAGTTAATGAGAGAAGCACCACATTTTTATCCTTGGTATTACATACGAGGAGAAAACTTAAATTAAAAAATTGAAACGGATTTTGAGAAAAATGGTTAAAAAATTAAACTACCTACATTTTGCGCAAAATTACATGAAAAAACAATTTTTGAAAAATTCAATATGGCCTTGTTTCAAGATCTGTCTTTAAAGAATAGATTTCATTGAGAAGACTATCTTTATCTTTAATATTATAGTAGTAGGAAGACACCAAAAAAATTGCACTATTGCTATTTTTATAAAATACGGGAATTCAACGAACGTGAGTCCTGCCCTCAAGTTTCCCTCCACATACGTTGCTCAATAAGCGTTCTTCGTGCTATATGAGAATAATGTTTAATAAAAAGAAATAGGAGCCGTTTTTTAGAAAAATCTGAAAATGTTTTTGAGTTTTCATATAAAGTAGCCTCAAAAATCAAAATATTCGGTTGAAACCCCCTAAGCCACGAGTTCGTTCAAATGGATAAGAGAAAATGAATTTTGGGGAAAATCAGCAGAACGGTTTAAGTGCTAGCGTTGTCTACGGACGGACAGACGTTCCATGATAGTTTTCTATATCAAGGCCCCACAAAATATGGATTCTGGTTAGACCACGTGTAAGTAGTTGTGTGGCGTCATATCAGTCGCCTTGTACAAACGTGACAAACTATTTGCCACGTGCATTTCGCCACGTGCATTTCATGCACATGAAATGGTTGGAGGAAGTAGTTTGCGACAGCGGGCAGGGCCGGCGGGAAGGGGCGCCGGGCTGAACAATGGCAAACCTAGAGAGCGGAAGGGAAGAGGTGCCGTGTCGTGGGTGGTCACTTGTGAATCCCGTAGACCACTTGGGGCATACTTGTGAACCCCGTAGACATGCTGGTTGTGGAAACGCGTCGGTGGAAACAGCGATATGGCGCAGTTCCGTCAGCAGGTCCAGAAAGTAACACTCGTATAAGCGGACCCCGGACCTCAACTCTTCTCAACTTCTGATTCTTGGGCGCGTCGGTAGTAAGTCGCGTGAGTTGTGCGCGACGCGGTATTTCAATGCACAGGCTACTGAGGCAGGGAACTAGCCGGCGTGCTACGTCGAGACGGGAGGTGCGGCATACTCGCTTGTATGCGCACGTAGGTCAACTGATGCATCACACCGAACAAGATATCAAATTATCAGGCCAGCGGTTGTGGTGACCAGGAACATTCCTTCTAGTAACGGGTCGATCTTGTTTATTGTAATTATTGTAAATAGTAGTCATGTGTTGGAGCATATTTCGAATAAAACTCAATAAATTACAAACCGTTCACGTCTGTGAATTATTGCCACAATTGCTATTCATAGCAACAATATTTATCCACTTTTTCGGAACTAGGTCCCGGCAATAAGAGTTTTTCTGTCGAAACTTCTCAGTTTTCCGAAGCACTGTTACATAATTTTATCTTCTTACGTACTTATGTTGGAGACAAAAAAAAAGCGCTTCATTTATTTGTTCTATGATTTTATCTGACACAGTTTCAGAGGAAAGACATATTTCTTTTTGAATTGGCGGGCAAGCACTGGGCCCCAGGACCCTCAGGGCCTCCTGACATGGTCCTGTCAGTCCCTACGGAACTTATGCCACTGGCTTCAAGGGCCACAACTACAACCTTTAATATAGTTGCGGGCTACATTTTCATTACTCGGGAGATCCACACGTTACCCCTTAATGCTGATCTCGGCCGTTTGCCCGGCTGCTCTGATACGGGGGCGATGGACATGCGTGATATGATGCCGGACCAAACAGAGTGGAATGATTTTGAATTTATGAATTTACTAAAAAACATAAATCTAAACTTATC